TATACTCCTAGTCAAATAATATAAATTTTATAATTGTTTAATAATATTTAATATTAATTAGCCTTAGGCCTATATATTAGATAGACCTATGGACTATGGCATGGTACATCACTGCAAACACTGCAGTGCTTAGTTTGTACAGATATTTTAATTTGTCTCACATTTAAATAATAGACAAATTAACTTTGTAAATTAAATTATAAATGACCACTTTCACAAACTGAGGTGGAGGTTAACTACAAACTACAAAGTAAATATTATATCAAAATTAGCCCCTAAAATGCCTAAACTATATAAGTTGAAAATGCAGTTGTGTAAATTGTAAAGAAAGTGTAAGTCTTAAGTATAAGTATAAGATTTTCTTGAAGGTGCAATTTTTTTATTTAAATTTAGTAGATAATTAACAATACAAATTTAAAGCCTGGTTGAGAGCGTGGCCAAATTAAAACTTTCAGAAAAAATGTGTAAAAAATATTTAAAGTTAAAATTAAAGGCTGATCACTGATGAATTGTTTATCTTGGCAACCAGTTTCCTTACTTTTTCTATGAGACGAACAGTACCATTTTGCGCTTAAGTTTTGATCATGGTTTATAAACAAACCATAACATTTAAATTACGATGATTCCAGCTTCATACACATTAATGTGCACTTCAAAGAATTACACACAGTAGATTTTCTAAAAAGAAAAGTGATGTGTCTGGGCTTGCTTCGTTCACCTCAAGCCAGTACAGTTTTTAAAGTTTCACTACTTCCGCAAAACTTTAAATAAACTGTCTCAAATTAAACGAAATAATCCGAAAAGACCGTAAGGGTCACCGGTGGGATGTGCTGACAGCACCGGGTGAGAGCTGTCCAATTCCTGGGGATGACACAAAATTGGAAATGTGACAGAGCCCGCTTGAGTCTGTTTCTAAACTATGCTAAGCTTTATTAAAAAGAGATTGATGCAACCAGAGCTTCTGGTCCATTTTCCATTAAGATCAATCAATGAATTCAATAAACTAAGACCATCGGTGAACGCTCCTTCTACTTCCATGCGCCCACGTTCTGGAAACAGCTCCCCTTCCACATCCGTCATTGTGAAACCTCGTCCACTTTCAAAAGTCCCTTAAAACTCATCTGTTTAGGTCCGCCTATGACCTGTGATGCACCCTCCTTGCCCTGCATCATTTTCTGTCTTGGGTTGATGGTTGATCCTGTAATATAGGCCAAAACGTGCCAAAGTGTCCTCGTTTTATAGCCATTTTTAATTGTTTCTATAGTATAGTAGTTACTATCCTAGTGTCTCCGGTTTTTTATTTTTATTTTACTTAGTTTACATGTTTTTAATAATTGTAAAGCGCTTAGAGCTTTAAGGTAAGCGCTATTTAAAAATACCTAAATAAATAAATAACAAATATATAATCATAATCAGCGAATGATTTTCTACATTGTTTTTTTTTGTTTTTTTGTTGTTTTTTTTGTTGTTGATTCATTCATTTTCTGCAAGGCAGTACGTTCTAGTTTTCTCTAGGCCTAGGCTAATTTGTTTCCCCGATCCACGCCACATCTGGTGGGGTTTCCCATAACCGCCATCTGAGGAGTGAGGCGCTCGGTGGAAGACCTGTATGTCTGCACCAGTATAAAGAAGTAACATGCCGAAATATAGGCCTACAGTTTTAGATTGTTACCTATGGACTGCAGGGTTGGAGGAGAGTCTGGCCAGGCTGGAAAAATTGGCAGGCTGCACGGGCTAAAAGTCCAAGTGTGCATGTGGTGTGGCCAGGCTGGAAGTATTAACATGTTGCATGTGCTAAAAGTCCAAGTGTGCATGTGGTGTGGCCAGGTTGGAAGTATTAACATGTTGCATGTGCTAAAAGTCCAAGTGTGCATGTGGGGGTTAGGGAAATTATTTATTTTTTTTTTCCAATGCGCACGAACTTGAAACGTTTCATGAACGGAACGTTTTGAATGCAAATATGGAAAACAATAATTTAAAAAATATGACACAAATAAAACAGGATTAAATTTATAAGTTTTATGTGTTGCTCTCCCACATTCACATCAAACGCTATAGGTCTGGCTTTAAAAAAAAACAACATTGGGGATGATAGGTAAGCTTATATATATATGTATGTAAAGATGAGGGCTGAAAAAGTGTGGGGACAAGAAATTTAATTAAATAAATGAACCCCTTATTCCATTATTTATCTTAGGCCTAAGCAGTGGCGTAGCTACGGTTAGTGGCGGCAGGGGCGGGAAAACTATTTTGCCACCCCCTCCCATGAAAACATTTTGATCGTCTATTTTTGTGTATCTAGATTGTCTTTGGCTAGATTTATTATGATATACTGCATAGGGACTTCGGGACGCAACTATGACAGAACAGTTCCAAGCCAGTTTGAACAACATAACCCATTACAGCAACGTGGGGTTCGTGCTCGCCCTGGCCAAAGATGTCGGCATTCTCGATGAGCTCCTGGCGTCAGACACGCCAAAGTCGGCCGGTTACATCGCCAACGTCAGGAAGCTGAAGAAGAGGTGATTGGCGTTGTGTGGGTACTCTATATATAATCTTGATAATTCTTATGGTCTCATATGTGTGTTATCACTCGTATGGTCTCCTTTGTGTGTTAACATTCGTATGGTCTCCCATGTCTTTTAATATTTGTTTAGTCTCCTATCTCCCAAGTCTTTTAATATTTGTTTAGTCTCCTATGTGCGTTAACACTCGTATGGTCTCCTTTGTATGTTAACATTCGTATGGTCTCCTGTGTATGTTATCATTCGTATGGTCCCCTATCATGGGCGCCCGCAGAAAACTTTCTAGGGGGGGGGGGCAAAAAATCGATTAACTTTCCAGGGGGGGGGGGGCAACAATTTTTAGTAATGTTTTAATTATAGTTTTAATTTTCTCCCAAGTCTATTAATCTTTGTTTAGTCTCCACTCGGCGTTAACACTCGTATGGTCTCCTTTGTATGTTACCATACGTACGGTCACCGGTGTCTGTTATCACTCGTATGGTCCCCTATCATGGGCGCCCGCAGAAAACTTTCTAGGGGGGGGGGACAAAAAATCGATTAACTTTCCAGGGGGGGGGGGCAAACAATTTTTAGTAATGTTTTAATTATAGTTTTAATTTACTGTAGCGTATTTGTATGGTGAACGAACGGACAGGACATCAGCTTAGTTACTTTCTCTTTATTTTCTCTTTACTTTAATAAAAAAAATTGTCTATTTTTGTCTAAAAATTTTGTATCCAATCAATCCAGGGGGGGGGGGCAAGTGCCCCCCCTTGCACCTACCTGCGGGCGCCCATGTCCCCTATGTATTTTATCATTCGTATTTTCTCCTATGTGTGTTATCATTTGTATATTATCATTTTGTTGTTTTTTTAAATCGAGAAAAGGTTAACTCTTTGTCTTATATTTCGAGTATTGCAATAATATTTCAAAAGAAAAATTACAATGTACACTTTTGTGTCTGACATGTGTATGATCACGAGAGAGTGATAAAGGGGTTGGTTCCCCCTTACACCGAAAAGGCTAGTGTCCCCCTGCGCCAAATTATTTAATCCGATAAGTGCATAAAATAGTTGCAACTATAAAAATAGCATTGTGCTATAATATGTGTCTGGGTTAATGACTGTTGATGACGAACCCAACTGACCCTTATTCAGAAGTAGATCATATGCTGGACTCTATCAGATACGTTCAAGAGATTTTAGGCTGTCTGGTCAGCGCTGGACTGGTGCAGGTCTCTTTCAAAGAGAAGAACTTTTACCATATGGGCCGGGCTAACAGAGAATTCTTGAGACAAGTAGGTGTCATGCAACGGATTTCCTTCGTCAGTGCATTGGTGGAGGCCTACAAGCCAGTCCGGGACTGTGTGCTTAAGGAGGGTCCTGTTGGTGAGCTATTTTTGCAAAGAGATTGGAATATGTGCAGGGGCGTAGGAAGGGGGCAGTCCTACCCGAGAGACACTTTTCTTTCTTCTTTATATGAAGGGGTGGAATTTTCGGCTAACTGCAGAGTTAATTTTTGGGGGGCGAGGGGTTGGGAAAGGGGGAAAGGGAAAGGGGGGGGGGGTAAATATTGGCCCACCTTGACGGTTCTGATCCTAGCTGTGCCTCTTAGTGTGTGCTTAAAGAAGATCCCTTTGGTTACCTGCTGTTGTATTGAGATTGGTGTATGTGTTCAATGAAAGCCTTTTTGTTGGGATAATGTTGTATTGAGATTAGGGTAAGTGTTCAATGAAAGCCTTTTTGTTGGGATAATGTTGTATTGAGATTAGGGTAAGTGTTCAATGAAAGCCTTTTTAGTGAGATAATGTTGTGTTGAGGTTGGGGTATGTGCTCTAGGAAGGCCTTTTTGCTGAGATAATGTTGTGTTGAGATTGGTATATGTGCTCAAGGAAGGTCTTTTTGTTGAGATAATGTTGTGTTGAGATTGGGGTATGTGCTCAAGGAAGGCCTTTTTGTTGAGATAATGTTGTGTTGAGATTTGGGTATGTGCTCAAGGAAAGCCTTTTGGTGAGATAATGTTGTGTTGAGATTGGGGTATGTGCTCAAGGAATGCCTTTTTGTTGAGATAATGTTGTGTTGAGATTTGGTGAGCTTGTTGCACAGAGAGGGTGATTGGGGAGTTTCCAATCGTATGTGTGTTAAGAGATTGTGATCTTGATGCCTTCTATTTAATCGTATGTGTGTTAAGAGATTGTGATCTTGATGCCTTCTATTTAATCGTATGAGTGTTAAGAGATTGTGATCTTGATGCCTTCTATTTCCAATCTTTGCTGTTTTACCTTGCTAGATTAAAAAAAAAATCTTTGGGTCATATTGTGTAATAATGAAAATAATTTAAAATGCCCCCCTGTCCCCACGGTCAGTTCACTAGCTAAGCTACAACTTGCATGTGTGTTGTTGGTTTGTTTGTGTGTGTGTGTGTGTGTGTATTTTTTTAAACACTTTCATTGCTTTATGCGTTAAGTTTAACACCAGTTGTGATGCTCTCATTGGCTCAGGGGTAGGTTACGGTGGTGCTATGTATCGCCTGCTGGACTACAGGAACATGGCGGCCGCAGATGCAATTGTTGAACTGATGATACATGCTGTACCAGGGCTGAAGTTCAAATTAAGTATGGACATTATGTTTTGTTGTTGTTTTTGTGTATCCTATGCACTGCTAGGTAACTCTTGGGTGGAGTCCTAAAATAATATATCTCTTTAAATAAATGACCACTGCATATTTTTCATTCAAAGTGAAACGTTTTAGATCACGTGACAGTTGTGTCTTTGGTTTTAAAAGATAATTTTTGTTATGGTATTCTCTGCCTGATGGACCCAGATAAATATCATACTATTGAACCCATCTAAATATCATACTATTGAACCCAGTGACAGATGATTGACCCTGCTACAATCAAACTATTGGAGCAAGCTACAGATCAACCCCTTTTTAGAAAGGTATCAAATAAAAGGAAAAAACGTTATTTTTCAGCAGCAGAATATTAAATCAAGTTAACATTTATTTCTTTTTTTATTCCACAGTGGAGGGCATACGAGTAGCAGAGTTTGGTTGTGGATCAGGTCGTCTCATCAGCAGCCTGGCCACCAGATTCCCAAGCAGCGCCTTCACGGGGTCAGAGTACAGAGCTGACCTGGTCGTCCAGATGAAGTCGTCCTGGGGCTACCTGTCTAACGTACGATTCGAGGTCTTCGACCTGTGCCAGTCTAACCCGAACCCAGACCGGAAGCTGGACTGGATCTACGCCATTGACGTCATCCACTACCTCCCTTACCCGCTGACGGCCCTGAAGGTAATACGGGCATTGATGAAAGATGCCGGCTCTCTGTTCATGTCCGTGGAGATGACGGGAAATGAAAGCCACCTGGTGCCCGCTGAAAAGGCAGGAGGGGAACGTCCCACGGACGATGCCGGATATCTCGAGGATGCCGGAAGTCTAGAGGCCGCCTCTGTGTATGCACTGAGCACATTCCTGAGTCTTCCCGAGAGAAATCAAAGGGTTAATAGAGACGTTTTCGGCTCCGGCTGGAGTAAGAAGACCGCCGTGGATATTTACACGATGGCGGGGTTTAAAGTCAGGGTACAAGATCTGGACGGTGCAGAAGGCCGAAAGACGCTTTTAATCTGCGAGCCTGCTCCCGACAGGTTTCTGAGGATAGATGCAAATGAATCCATTTTCCGAATGGAAAAAAAATCTCAAGTTATTTAAATAACTTTCACAATATAACTTTTTTCAATTTAATCGTAATAGCGCACTTGATACAAAATTAAAAAATCGCCTTTTGAAATAATTTAATGGCAATTTTCATATCACATAAAAAAAAATTCAGATTTCAACAAACAAAAAATGCACTATTTATATTACATAATTGTAACGACCCTTTATCATTAAGGCTTATTAAGTTTGAGTCATCCTCATCGGGCACCGCACAACAAGAAGCCCGGAGCCTGTGCCCAAAATATTATTTGTAAACATTGAACAAGTAATAATAATAATAATAATAATAAAGTTTATTTGAAAATCATGCTTCATTCCCAAAGGCTCGAAGCGTGGTGCAAAGTTCACCCTGTTGAAAGAGAAAGGAGAACAGTCTATATTTTACCACATTGAAATAAAAATCGCAACATTACAAAAACTACATAAGAGTGCATGCCCATTCCAAGTCTTTCATCCCTTGCAAACATAAACAACACACGCTAATAATATACATCTAGGAGAGAATAGCTTGCTGGAAAAAGATGGTGGACAACATCACCCCAGCAGGTGTTTGCGAAAAAGAGATCAACTGAGTTTCCCCAAAACCTGTTGGCGCTGCACATCAGACTTCATTAGAAGTCCAAGTTATGACGAGAAAGAGATCAATCAATCAGTTTTTATACTAAACATACAGAAAGACTAGGCGGTCGTCCCATGGCAATTTTTTAGGGGGCGGCAAAAGTTCGATTTAAAAAAATTAATTTGAAATCAATCAGCGAAAAAAAATTAGAGGAAAATAAATAATAATATTTAAGATAATAAATAATAGTACAGAGGTAAAATTTAAAAACTAACATTATTTTTAAAAATTGAATATAATTTCTTGTATATCTAATGCATTAATTCACCTGGCCTGGATGACAGTGGAGAGGATGATGGTAGTAAAAGGGAGAGGGTAATGGTACTAACATTGGGAGAGGACTGAATTTTACAATCCTCCCATAGGGCGGCATAAGACATAGAAACGGCCCTGCATACGAAGGAGTTTATTATTTTCTCGATGAGGGTGTGGGTAGTTGACTTGCCTGAGAGATGCCGGGAAGAAACAACGATTTAAATACCATGTCATTGTACCACCATGTCATTGTACCACAATGTCATTGTACCACCATGTCATTGTACCACCATGTCATTGTATCACCTCGTCATTGTACCACCATGTCATTGTACCACCTCGTCATTGTACCACCATGTCATTGTACCACCATGTCATTGTACCACCATGTCATTGTACCACCATGTCATTATACCACCTCGTCATTGTACCACCATGTCATTGTACCACCATGTCATTGTACCACCATGTCATTGTACCACCATGTCATTGTACCACCTCGTCATTGTACCACCTCGTCATTGTCCCACCATGTCATTGTACCACCTCGTCATTGTACCATCCTGTCATTGTACCACCATGTCATTGTACCACCATGTCATTGTACCACCTCGTAATTGTACCACCATCGCATTATACCACCATGTCATTGTACCGCCCTGTCATTGTGCCCTTCGTCATTGTACCACCATGTCATTGAATCACCCTGGCATTGTGCCACCCTGTCACTATACCCACATGTCATTGTATCATCTCGTTGTACCACTATGTCATTGTACCGCCATGTCATTGTACCACCTCGTCATTGTACCACCATGTCATTGTACCACCATGTCATTGTACCACCTCGTCATTGTACCACCTCGTCATTGTCCCACCATGTCATTGTACCACCTCGTCATTGTACCACCCTGTCATTGTACCACCATGTCATTGTACCACCATGTCATTGTACCACCTCGTAATTGTACCACCATCGCATTATACCACCATGTCATTGTACCGCCCTGTCATTGTGCCCCTCGTCATTGTACCACCATGTCATTGAATCACCCTGGCATTGTGCCACCCTGTCACTATACCCACATGTCATTGTATCATCTCGTCATTGTACCACTATGTCATTGTACCGCCATGTCATTGTACCACCTCGTCATTGTACCACCCTGTCATTGTACCACCCTGCCGTTGTACCACCCTGGCATTGCACCACCCTGTCATTGTACCACCCTGTCATTGTACCACCCTGTCATTGTACCACCCTGGCATTGCACCACCCTGTCATTGTACCACCCTGTCATTGTACCACCATGTCATTGTACCACCCTGGCATTGCACCACCCTGGCATTGCACCACCCTGTCATTGTACCACACTGTCATTGTACCACCATGTCATTGTACCACCCTGGCATTGCACCACCCTGCCATTGCACCACCCTGTCATTGTACCACCATGTCATTGTACCGCCATGTCATTGTACCACTATGTCATTGTACTGCCATGTCATTGTACCACCTCATCATTGTACCACCCTGGCATTGCACCAACCCTGTCATTGCACCACCCTGTCATTGTACCACCATGTCATTGTACCGCCATGTCATTGTACCACTATGTCATTGTACCGCCATGTCATTGTACCACCTCATCATTGTACCACCCTGTCATTGTACCAGCCTGGCATTGTACCACCATGTCATTATACCACCCTGTCATTGTACCACTACCACTATGCCGCTGTGCCACTTCGTCGTTTGCCACCATAGCAATGTACCACCTCGTCTTTAAATCCCCTCCTCATATTATCACCTTGTCATTGTGTGATTTTCACATTAATGCATTAGCCTCTCATCATGCTCCTTTAATAAATAAAGAAATTTGAATTCACCCAATCAAACATTAGGTCAGATGTATTTCCTAAGATGAAAGAACCTTCAATATCTATGTAGGAAGCTGTTTGACCTTTGTACTCTCACAAAATATAATAGTCCACAGAGCGTTAGTTAACTATAATGACACTGCAAATACGTGACCAGGACGATTTTGTAATGGTTGGGTGAATAGAGGTGCGCAACTTGTATGGCTTGTTTGATATGTGCTCTGTATGCAGTAGCGTCACTAGAGGGTGCGGGGGACGCATCGGATGGAAATTCGCCTGGGGTGCACTTTGAGCCCCCCTCCCCCACCAATTTTTCCACCCGAAAAAAAAACATCCCGGTGCTTTTGGCAAGTGAAACTGGAAATAACGAGACTTGAAATAGCCCTGTCCCTGGCGTATGTACTGACTCCACGCAGGAATTAAGTAATTGTTTAACACTTGCTGAGCCTGCAAACAGTGAACCTGCAAATAACACAACTGTTTCTTCTGTCCCAGGGGTTCGAGCTATGATATCTGTTTAGGTCCGCCTATGACCTGTGATGCACCCTCCTTGCCCTGCCTCATTTTCTGTCTCGGGGTTGATCCTGTAGTATAGGCCAAAACGTGCCAAAGTGCCCTCGTTTTACAGCCATTTTAATTGTTTCTATAGTACCGTATAGTAGTTACTATCCTAGTGTCTCCTTTTTATTTTACTTAGTTTACATGTTTTTAATAATTTGTAAAGCGCTTAGAGCTTTAAGGTAAGCGCTATATAAAAAAATGCCTAAATAAATAAATAAATATGTCCAGTTTTCACTGGTTATGGAAAAGTCCCGGAAAGTCAATTTGAACGGCTTTTTTTTTTTAAAGGGTTAAAGAAATCAAAGCGTCAATTCTCCCGTACAAAATCAAAGTGCGAGAAGGGTTGGGGGGGGTGGGGGTGCGCTCCACCGAAAATGTTTGATAAATTCAAACTACCAGGATTCAATTTGTCGTATAGCCTACCTGAATGTAGCTTTACAATCAATCTACACTAAATGGGTGGAGCAAAAAGAGAAATTTTGTGAAGTTCAATTCTCCTTTGACCTGGCTGTGTTTATACAAATCGTTTTGGTTTTAATTGTTACAAACAAAAACTATTATAAAACATTTAACAATTTAATTTGGTTTAACGTCTCCATTGTTAATTAATTAATTTTATTTTCAAAGTTGCCAAGCGACATTCCGGTGCCTAGCGTCAAGGAGCAAAGTCAAGGAGGGGCAAAGTCAAGGAGGGCAAAGTCAAGGAGGGGCAAAGTCAAGGACTGGCAAAGGCAATGACTCACAGGACGTCAAAAAACTCTGATTACTCCAAAGTATACAAATGAATTAAAGTTCTATTTTATTCATATATTATTTTTTTATTTTGTTTACATCTTTTTTCTGTCTGCCATCTGTTGCTTACAATATAGGGTATGCAATATATTGTGTACAAGATATCATGTGCATCTCTTGCGTTCCTTATTCGTTTTCTCTCTGTTTTTTATTCTTAACTCGATACTTGAAACATGATCTCCCTACTATTTGACACAAAACATGATCCCCCTGCTGTTTGACACGAAACATGAGCTCCCTGCTGTTTGACACGAAACATGATCTCCCTGCTGTTTGACACGAAACATGATCTCTCTGCTGTTTGATACAAAACATCATCTCCCTGCTGTTTGACGTGAAACATGATCTCCCTACTGTTTGACACGAAACATGATCTCCCTGCTGTTTGACACGAAACATTATCTTCCTGCTGTTTGACACGAAACATGATCTCTCTGCTGTTTGACACAAAACATCATCTCCCTACTGTTTGACACGAAACATGATCTCCCTGCTGTTTGACACAAAACATGATCTCCCTGCTGTTTGACACGAAACATGATCTCCCTGTTTGTTTGACACGAAACATGATCTCCCTGCTGTTTGACATGATACATCATCTCTCTTCTGTTTGACACAAAACATGATCTCCCTGCTGTTTGACATGAATCATCATCTCTCTTCTGTTTGACACGAAAAATGATCTCCCTGCTGTTTGACACGAAAAATGATCTCCCTGCTGTTTGACACGAAACATGATCTCCCTGCTGTTTGACACGAAAAATGATCTCCTTGCTGTTTGACACGAAACATGATCTCCTTGCTGTTT